AACCAGGCACAGAGCTCTGTTTATCTTTCCTGGCCTGGATGTCATGGTTACGCCCTTAAGGTCTTTCTTGGTCCTTTTTTTGCCTGCCTTCCTTTGGTGGCTGCTGGACTGGAGCATCCCCAGGGCTTTGATTTGCAGTTTCCAGAGTTTTCCGAACTTCAGCTACAGCAGAGCAACATCTCCTGAAGGGTGGCCCACAGCAACTGAAATTAAATTCCCCAGACAGTGACCCAAACACATTCAAAGCAGTGTGGGACACCTAACCCATGACAGTTTTATTTTCTCCACYTGGATCAGCCAAAGAAAGATACTCTGAAGATAAATATGACCCAAAATTGGATTCAGAAATGCACATGAAGTACCTGGGAGGTGCTATAAACATGCACTGCTCRCATTCACTTTGTTTTCTGATGGAATATTCAAAGTTGCTATTTCTTAAAGCCTGGGATGKATAATTCCAGTTTGGTTACTTAGATGTCTGATCATTACGGGAACCAAAGGGAATTAGAGGTCTGAATGTCTTTGATCTAAATGCCTTTGAGGTGTTTTTTTCATTTTAGTCCTTAGCTGGGACAGGGACCCTCAAATACAGCCRCAGAGACTCTTATTTAGGAGTTATRCAGCACAAAAGGAAGACAATTTATAAACCAGATTTTTTTAATCACTCTTTTCCARCACCCTCCTACCAGAAAACTCCTGTCCTGTCTGGGGTGAGCTCCAGAGAGCAGAAGACATCTATAAAGTGGAGGGGAATTCCCAGTCCATTATGAGAGATTTCACAAAACTGCTTTCAGGAAGGGAGGAAAATGTTCCCCAGTGAGCAAACATGCAGTCAGTATCCCCAGGGATATCAGCTGCTGGACAACAGACCACATTCACTCTGTCACTAATTTCACACCACAGAAATTGCTCTGAAAGGTGCCTTAGAAGGAATTTGCTGACCGAGATCTGTCCTTTTGCCCATCTTCTGATTTTATCTTCTTTCCCAGCTGAAAAAAACCCAGACTTGGGTATTTTTCCTGCCCAGATCAACCAGAATTGCAGTTGTTYTTACACTGGTGGCCATYCCTGGGAGTGTTCAAGGCCAGGCTGGATGGGGCTTGGAGAACTCRGTCTAGTGGAARATATCCCTGCCCATGGCAGGGAGCTTGRAATTAGATTGTCTTTAARGTTCCTTCCATCCCAATTATTTTATCATCCCATGATCAGTCTGGATTAAGCAGCATTAATCTGGCACATATAATCATAGTGAGCAGGCAAAACAAATGCTTAGAATTGCTGGCTAGGGCAGAAGATGGCCCTTGTGAAAGTCTGAGGCTTGAAGCAGACTGATCTGCTCAAAAGCATGRAAAAGTCTTTCCACCCAGGCAGGTSCCACKRTCTCTGCTTGCTCACAGGCCCCTGGCATCGTTCTCTGAAGMAGCTGGACTTTAATTTGTTGGCAGGAAGGCGCTGGAATAAAGAGATGTCTTTTYCCCTGTGGTGTCACACTGGACATTGCTTAGCTGTTGCGTGTATTTTTTGGTGGTTTCGCAGTCTCTGGGTTTTGCAAGCACCTCTTCACTGGCACAGAAAATTCCCCATGATGTGCAAATCCACTCTCCCGTGCCACAGCTGAGCGTGGCTGGGCTGTTGCACCCTAGCTCGGTGTCACACCAGAGATTTATGTGTTGCTTTGCTCCATTAGCCCAASTTAAGAGGTCCTGAGAGTGCAGCAGATGATTTATGTTCCATTTCTTACAGTGCAGACTGAACATTGCTGCTGTCTGGCTGAAGGGCTCCTCCACAAGTGCAGCTCAGTGCCATAAAGTCACCAAACAAAGCACAATGGGAGAAGAGTTTGGCAAAGATTGGCCACTGGCAGGTGGATCTGGGGCAGTTTGGGCATTGGGAACATCAGGGAAAATTGTCACATTGTCCCCACAAACGCAGACTAAACGCTGATTTAAAGCTCAGACCATTTCRTGGCCCACACACCMRGTCCATCCCACRCAATGTCCATCTACACCTTGCCCTKSTGCTGTGGTGCTCAAGCTCTGTGCTGAAATCCATCAGCAGAGCCCCAAACACATAGACCTGTGACAAAGCTTGGAATCAGCCCAAAGTAATTTTTCAAAATCTAGTAAGCAATACCCAGCTAATTTATGGCCTAGCTATCATTTTAAAAACAGTGTTTTACACATTCTGCACTTGGTTGAAAACACCTAGTGAAGGGAGGGGAATATCTGCCCTGCTGCATCATCYGGAGCAACCCAGACTGGAGGGAAAWAAGGGCCAGGACTGTGCAAATATTCAGCCTGATTTTACTGCAGCCCCCACTGCACTCAGTGTTAAAGGCCAAGTCTTTTCAGTGCTTAATCAATATATCAATATAGTCAGAAAATGACAAGCAGAATTCCTATTTGTCTTGTTATTCCAAGGCTGCTCATAAAGCCAAGTTCACAATTCCATAAAGGAGCCTGCATTACCCCAGTGACTGGGAAGGAATTCCACATTGGCTTCCCACAGGCCTGTCCACTGAGAGAACAGGAAAAGATAATGACAGGGTAAGTGAGAGTAAACTGGAATAAAGCCAAAAGAGAGGCCTACAAACCTGGCAGGGCAATCTCAGCTCATAAATACRACCCACCAAGTGGATACTCTGCACTGCCTGTTGCCTGACAGACTGATAAACTCATGGTATGAAAACACCATGAAGTTTCCACAGGCAAAAGCCACTTATTTTGACATTTGTTCTCGCTTCTTGAAAATTTTAGCACCAGCACATTAATCTAGACATTGCTGTTTCAAAAAACAGGGATCTTTGGATTTGCCACTGTGATCCATTTGGTCCTCACTGCATTCAGAGCCAGGAATCCAAAGACAACAACTCGCTGAAGTTTGGCAGACCAGGCAGTTTTGCCAGGGTGGTAGCTGCAGACTCAGAGAGGTGATGTGGGCAGGAAGAACATCCTCTGATGATAAGACAGGTTTGAACAATTGACAGGAAGAAAGGAAATATAAAGGTTGATGGGCAAAAGAAAAAGCAGGGGAGGGAGAAAAAAGGGGRRAAAATGGAAAAATGAGGTAAAATAAAGAGAGAAAAAGAGAAAAAGTAAAATGAAGGTCTGGTGCCATGCAGAAATTCACAGCAGGACCCATAAGAGGCAAGATGCTGCAAGGAGAATTTAAATGGAAAATGCGAGCTGGGTAGAGTCAGGATGCATTTTTCCAAAAGCCCTTRCATTTCTCATCCCTTGTGTGTGGGAAGAGTAATGGCAGGACACCACCAATCCCTTGATTGCCCCTCAGCATTTCCCAGAGGAGACCAAGAGCCAAACTGAGCTGCACAAACCATCAATCACCGCTCAGTGTGCGGCTCCACGGACCTGCTGCAAACCATCCACAGTGACCTCAAGGACCACAGAGCACAGATAAGGGTTTGGGAGTGATATCCTTCTGGCAGAGCTCTGCACACACTGGATGGGCTGATTCCAAACCAGATTAATTACTGGATGGCAGCAATTTGTATCTGCACCGGGGATTTTTGCCCGTGCAGCTCTGTCAGATGCCACTAAGAAAGAGACGGGCAGAGTAAATTTCAGGGCAACTTTTAGGTTTTTAAAGCACTGAAGACCTGAGCTGATCTTTGCACAGTTTGGCTGYGCTCAGGGTGAGCCAGCAGAACTGGATAAATCTGTCAGCACTGATGGGTGGCACGTGTCTCTCCATATCCATSAGAAATATCAGCTGCCCTGCACCTCTGTGTGCCCCACAGCCACTCAGCTGTCCTGTGAGCATCCTGCTTTGGAGGAGCTCTGCAGGCTCCATGCAAATTTCACCAAGGAATTTGAAAATCACATGTCCACCTCTCCCAGCTGTGCATTGCAGCTGGAAAACTGCCTTCATCTGAAGGGCACAGCTGGTCCTTGAGCAGGGTAAAACCTGCAGAACAGGTCTGGCTCCTGCATTTCTTGGCGCTAGGGTGGATTGGAGGCTTGCAAAGGTTGCAACTGGGGAAAATAAAGCACATTTCCTGCTGCCTATGGTATCACCTGTAACCCCYCTGCTTCTGAGAAGGGAGCTGGGAAAAGCAGGAGAGCTGCCAGTAACTCACCCAGTTCATATCTCTGTGGGATGTTCTGGGATTCCCTGCACCTCTGGAAGTTGAAAACCACGACACCAGGGAGGATTATTTTAAATTATTTTATTCAAGTCCGGTTGAAGGAAGGTGATGGGGAATCTGGACTGTCTCCTGTGCTGGCACCCATCTATTTTTTGTCTGAAATAACAATTATTCATTCCCAGTGCCCCATTAATTGCAAGCTGTGATCAGCCAATGGGCACCAGCCTGATTGATTCTCTTCCCCCATTCCTGACACAATTCCATGTTCATTCCTGCTCTCAGCCATTTGTCCTTATGTTTAAAAAAAGTAATAGCCCATATGCTGCAGCAATATCATTATTTTAAGCAACCTTCCTGACAAATGTTTGAAGGTTTCCTGTTGACTAATGGGTGGGACTGSACTGCCCCCCTTTCTTTCCCAAAATTGAGTAGTAATGATTTAAGCAGATTAATTGGTTAATTAAATGTCATTAACCCAGATCATGTCCTTTACATGAAATAATGCTGGTTACAGGAATCAGCTGATAATGGGGTTCATCCACAGGCAATGAGAAAACATTTTTGTCTGTGTCAATGGGCTCAAAAGTTGTCAACAGGCTCAAAATAAAGTTCAAAGTGAATTCAAATGTGATCAACAAAATAAGCCACRCTTTCCATCATTTGCAACAGAATCTGCTCAACATCCCTGGAAATATTCATGGTTCTCTTCCTTCCTGTCCTTCAAAGCATCCACCACAGAGCCCCAGGGACTAAACCCTTCCACTTCACCTGCACCTCCACTGCTGCCCAGTGTAGGACAGCTGCTAATGAGCCTGTTGGCATTTYAGGATTAAAATGCTTAAAATTAAGGCCAATGGCTTGTGCATAAATAACATTTCTTGTTTCTCTCTTCCAGTAACTGTGACTGTGGGAGGACAACAGCACTTGCTGGGGCTTTATGACACTGCAGGGCAGGTAAATTACTGTGAAACATTTCTCATTTTCCTTTCCCGTGTTTGTTTGTTACTGTCATACACTGGGCTTTGTTGTTCATGATGTTTGTGAATTTTGGGGTTTTTTTTTTTAGAAACACTAATGATCAATTGTGAATTGTAATGGTTGAACTGCTGACCTCTGCCTCTTGTTTCATTCTGTTTCAGCAGTAAAACACACACAAACACGTTCATCCCTGAGACTGTATTTTGTCTAATCAAAAAACCAAAGCCTGATGAGGCTGTTTAGCCTCCCATACATCCATCTCCAACTGCAAATACGATGTTTTGTGCAGTCACTGCTTTCTTACCTTTACCACATGGTGGCATTGATGATACAGAGAAGAATTCCCATTTTCAAGATCAGAAAACCAATATAACACARCACCAGCCTGTCAGTCACCCACTGCTGACTTTTGAAGTGGCAACCCAGCCAGATCAGCATCCATCCCAACATTCTCCTCAAGGACAAGGGTGTTCATTACAAGGGAGTCTGTATTCCATTCTTATATAGAGAATTCTTTTGTAGTTTCTACTGTCCACACTCTGATCTGGTATGATTGCACTCGAAGTTTGCAGAATAATTTCACCCCCTGGAGAGGAGGAGAAATTATTTCAAACTGCTTTTCTCTGCCAGTAGAAGGGCAGAAGAAAGTACAGGGAGCAACATTTCTTGTGGTGAAATTTCCCTCTCCTGACTCCAAATTCCTGCGACTGACAAAATAAAGGAAGGGATGCAGTCTGCACAGAAAGCTGGCAGAAAATCGTCTGCTGAGAGCAGAGGGAGCAGGTTCCAGGTTCCTCACAGCCTGGGAATGCCATAACCCACATCCACCAGCTCCTCCAGTCAGAGCTGACACCAGAGCCAGCAGCAGAGAAAGCACATTTGGGAACTGGCTTCACTCTCTCTGGGTTCCAGCAGCTCTGGGCTTTGCTTTTACCAGGAGCTCTTCTTGGCTCTGCTGGTTTTGGCCAAGGCTGACTGCTGTGAAATGCACAAACAGCACAGAAAGAGACCCTCCTGTCTGCAAAAGGCCACTTCTTGCAGAATACACTTTGCAGAACTAAGCAGAGAGAGATCAAAAAAACCCACACCAGAACAGACTGTCACTTCCAGAAAAACCTGCASTCAGCAGGACTGGGGTGGTGCTTTGAAGCTTTGGGTTTCACTTTCTTTAATTYTATTCCTATCATGCTTCTGTAGGCAGCAGCAGGCACTCCTTAGCTGGTTTGGTGGCCCTTAAGGACCACACATGGCACAAACAGATGATCCAAAATCCGGCCCCAAAATACAACCCGAGTCCTCAGCCCATGTCCAAAGCCTGTTCAGTCCTCTGAGCTCACAGACACAGAGCTCAGAGCCTGTGTCACGATCTGTCAGCCCTGCACACTGCAGTTATATTCAGTTCCCAGTGCCTCAACATTCCTGCTTGTTTTGTAGGGCTGACAGTTCCACCTGCCACCCATTTCCGCAGCGACACCTCCTCTCATTTGTCCTCCCGAGCCAGAAGGAACACTCAGCTGTCTCTGTGACAGCCTCACCCCTCCATCCATTCCTCCACAGCGTTTTGCCATGCCCCTGCTCCAAACCAGGCTCACCACTTTTCTCCAAACCCTTTCTCCAGCCTCATGTCCCCTCCAGACCCTGATGTGTCCATCCAAGAGCTGTGTCCGTCCATCTCAGAGCATGAATCAGCCCTGGATGAGTAGATTTTCTCCGTGGAGGCTGGAGGGATGATGCTTCCCACATGCTCCAGTTATAACAACAGATCATCTGGGTTGTTTCCTCCCCTCCTTCTCCTTGTGTTGTGTGGCTTTCCAAAGGCATCGGTGTGAAGTCATAGCCAGAAATAGCCCCTGACACTGCCGTGCTGTAAAACATATGCTAATGAAATAACAATTGGAAAATGCAGCAGGACCCTCTGTCAGCCTGAAGGCAGAGCTGGCAGAGACCCCAGATTCGAGGTATCTGSCTTTCTGTATCCCTGGCACAAACAGTCCTAGGAGGAAAAAAATGTGGGGTTCTTGCCAGGCTGGACTCAGGTGCAAAATGCTTTAGGAGAATGTGCAAGAGATCGGCACAGCAACAGCATAAAAACAAATTTAAAAAACAAAAAATTTAAAAAAAAAATTTAAAAAAAAATTTTAAAAAAAATTTTAAAAAATTAAAAAAAAAATTTAAAAGTTTTGCTGCATTTTTTCAGACCCCAACACTGCTGAGCTGATGGCAGAGACAGAGGAGAGGGAACACCACCAGCTGATCTGGGCCCTGTCATGTCCCAGCATTTCCATGGCAAACCAGTGGCCAGGCAGTGTTAAGTGGGAAGCCTCACGCTCCCTAAATGTCAGGCAGCACAATGCAAGCACAAGCTGTGAAAATAAATTATTTTAATATAAATTAAAATTAATTTTAAATTATCAGCCACAGCCCAAGCCCACGAGGACTCATGTCTCTTCCCAAACACGGCTGTCACTCGCTGCAGCACCTCTGCGTGTGCCCCATTCCCATACAAATGTCCAGCCCCTTTTTTATATTATTTATTTCCTTGACTTCAGCCATCTCTGAAGGAGAAATGACCCTGTAGGGGTCACCCACTGCGAGGTTTTACAGCCTTCTCCTGAAGAGCAGGTACAGAGAAGGGGTCCTTGTCTGGTTTGGAGGTTCCTGTACATGTGTTGACTCTCATCCATGAAATTTGTGTTTTAACCTGTCTGTGAAACATCCCATGTGCCCTGGTGGGAGGTGAGACTCTGCTATGAGATCCACGGCTGTCCCTGCTTAAAATTTATATAATGGTCTGTGCTGATAGCTCAAATCAGGAGTGCTGTTCCTGAAAAAGGATTTTCTAGGGATTCAGAAGGAACAAGAGAARTAAAATTAAATGCATGCTCCTGTAGCTGTCACAGCCAGGCAGAGCGCTCATGGCTTTAATCTGTAATTTTAATGGTACAGTTAGTCCCAGCCCCTCTAAATATGCACGTCTGGAATATTGAAACTGGCTATATTTGGCCAATTTCTTCCCAAATCGCCTAAATGAGGATTTCTTGATCCTTGCTGCCACCACGTGGCTGGTTCAGGAGCAGGTTTGCAGCAATTAAACCAAAAAATACAGAAAGGGTCTTTGCTAAGAACCCGGTATCAGCCTGTGTTGGTTGTTCCACAAAAAATCTTAATCTCAGTTGTGATATTCTGGGTTAAAATAATGTCCCAAAATCAGGTCTGGCCTTCCTAACCCCCAACATCCACATGAAACTGTCTCAAAACTGTCTCTACAATGCAATTTCTCCATGATCCCATCACTTCATCTCTGTTAATTCCTCTGCTGGGAGCTGTCTGGCTCTGTCTCCAGAGCCTTGGATAAATATTCTGTCACCAATTTCGCTTCTTTATGAGCAAATGATGTTCACTGATGTTCCCATAAACATTTCTGAGGGGTTTTTATCTCTGCTATTCCTTGAATATGGAGAATCCACCTTCCTGGGAGGTGACATATCCAAACATCTTTTGTAAATCCCTCTCCAGATCCTCACTTCCCATGCCTCTGGAAAGACATAAGGCAGTTGAAAAATACTCTGGAATTACCCCAAATCCTGGCTGTGAGGGCTGGAGGTGGTAACTGGGATTTTGCTCTTCCTGTCAAAGTGGTTTTGGGACAATGAGCATTCAGTTAGACAAAACAAAACATTTTGTTTGTGTTTCAGGATGCTTTTTTAAACTTCTCTTTCATAAGACAGAGCTAAATTTAGGCTCATGCTTCCTTTCAGAATTAATAATTGAAGTTTTGGGGATTTTTTTTTAGAACAGTTGGTGCAAACTGTTTTTGAGTAATTCATTCGTGTATTTTGGAAACTAGGGCTGGTTCAGAAGTAGTTTGGGCCAAATTATTAGTATATAGAAAGTGAACAAGGGACTACAGAAAAGTGATTTACCATTCTCAATTCCCAATTAAGCCCTCTCATTTGTTGACCCAAAAACAAGGCAGAAGGAAGGCTGAACTAAAACACCATTTAATCTGGCACACCCTGATCCAGTCCTGCATCCATTTCTGCTCCTACCCCGAGTGTGGGTTTTCCCTGCTTAAAATCAATGTTCTCAACTCTCAGAAACAGCACCCCAGTGTCTTTTTTTCCCCCATTTTATTAGCTTTATTTCCTTCTATTAAATATTCAGTGTCTGCAAAGMAAATCTGCACCAGCTGAGTTTTCACATTTATAACCAAAATCAACCAGACTGCAGAGATTTGAGACTTGTCCAGAATGCASAAACCATAAACTGCAGATCCACATTGCAGTCAGGCTTGACAGCAGCATGTATTATTGTTTCCCACACTCCAACTCTGTGCTCCTTTCCCCTTTTTTAATTCTTTACCCCTCCCAGAAAAGCTTTTGAACAGCTGTATCCCCTCTAAAAAGCATCTGTTTCACTGCACTGAMGTTTTCTAGCAGGTTTCATTGAACAATACCCACCAGACACAGCTACAAATGCTCTCACTGTCAGAAACAGCCAGGCTAGTCCTTTCACATGGCTTTCAGGCTTCTTCTCAATCCTGAAAAAAAAAAATACCCAAATTCTTCCTTGAAACTCAGCTATCAAAGCCAGCTCGTGACATATCACAGCTGTTTGAAAATTCACCCTCTACACCACTGGAGAAAACATCTCTCCTTCCGCCATYCAGAGCCTGTGGAAACACTAAATCACCCCCAGGGATGTTCCCAGGCTGGATTTGCTCTGTTTCTGCTGTCAGGATGAGTGTCTTGTGCTGACTGACATTGCTGAGCACCGTGTGCAATGGTCAGTGTCACCTACAGCACCAACATCTCCACAGACAAAAAACACAAAAAACGTGTTCACACAATCACAGGGTGATTGAGGCATGAGGGACCTTCAGAATTATCAAATTCCAACCCTGTCCTGCCAGAGATAGGGACACTTTCCAMCAGACCAGGTTGGTCACAGCTCACAGCCCTGCCCAAGCTGGCCTTGARCACTTCCAGGGATGGGGCAKCTTTCAGCTTTTTTGGGTGAAGATGCTGAAAAATCAGCATTTTTGGCCTGTGAGGGGTGCTTTCCCCCTCACCTCCAGCAGTCCCCTGAGGTTTAGAAGTGTGAATGAATATGAACAGTTTGACCACTTCATCAAAATCCACCCTGATCCCCCACTTTCAGCCATCCCCCCTTGTGACGCTCTCGCTGCTCTCCCCTGGCAGGAGGATTACAACCAGCTGAGACCCCTGTCCTACCCCAACACAGACGTGTTCCTCATCTGCTTCTCCGTGGTGAATCCTGCCTCCTACCACAACGTGCAGGAGGAGTGGGTGCCCGAGCTGAAAGTCTGCATGCCCAACGTGCCTTACGTCCTCATAGGAACACAGGTAACACTTCTGAGCATCTCAAAATCTCTCACTCATGGGAAATGCAGACAGATTTTCCCATTAGAGGAAAACTCAAGGACTGACAATGGGAAACAACAGATGTCCAGATTGGCAAAGCTTATCACATCTTTTTATTCTAATTTATATTAATGTGGCGATGAGGCATAAATACCTGTAGGGAGAAGAGTTTTCTTACAGGTCTCTAATGAGGAGAAGGAAAAAAGCATCAAAATTTGGGGCTAGAAGCTAAACTAAACTTCAAACTAAATTTTAAGAATGGAAGTCATTAACCAAATGACATGGGAAGGAAGTAGCCTCCCTTCATGCATTCACATCAACATTACAACTGGTGACTCAGCATCCTGCTTGTGTTACAGTGATTGTCAGACTGAAAGATCAAACCACTTTGTTTTGGCCTTAAAATCTGTGAATCTGTCAATCAAATAAAAATATCCTAAATATGGGTTTGCTTCCAGGACACAGAGTGAGACTGTGAGGTTTAGGATATGATCACCTGGAAAAAGTCAGAACACTGGACAGTAACCTAAGTGAAGTTAGAGAAACAGATCAAATTCTGGTCAAAATCAAAATCTTCATGTCACAGGAAAGGCAAATKACTTTGTTTTGCACACTGGAATGATCTGAAACAACCATTCAAAAATAAAAGCRTTATCCTTTTGATCACACAGTCTGAAAATGGATGGGTTTGAAATGGCAGAATACTTCACTTTGATGTTTTCCGTGGAAATTCAGGATTTTGTTTCAAGTCAGTGAGACTGAGCTGTGTCTGTCTGGCCCATCAGGGTGGGGTTTGGGGGATGCAGTGTAGGGTTGCAGCAGCCTGCCCTTCCAGCAGGATTATTTAGTGAACCACACCCATCTGAGCTGTGGCCTGATAACTTGCAAAGGAAAACTAATTCATGGTAAACTGGGAAAAAAAAATTAAAAAGTAAGTAAGCATATCAATTCATTTCTGAATTGTCAGCTGGGTTGAGGAGGACAGATGCCCTCATGTGGGTTTGTAAAGCCATGAATACGTTCATCAATGATTACAGCACAGAGTTTGTGCATTTTCTACTAGATTGATCTCCGGGATGATCCCAAAACTTTGGCACGGCTGCTGTACATGAAGGAGAAACCACTGACCTACGAGCACGGAGTGAAGCTGGCAAAGGAGGTAACAGCTTCCCCTGAGGKGTCACAAACTGACTGATCTCTGCTTCCCACTGGGTTTCTTCCACTCAAGGTTCCTTGGAGGCACATGGGTCCCACAGAGAGATTAAAGCCTCTGTTCAGACAGACTGGACTCAGCACACATGGAATATTCTCAGTGGGAAGGGACCCAAAAGRGTCAACAAGTCCAACTCCTGGTCATGCTCAAGGCAACCCCAAAAATCACACCACGTGCAAGAGAGWACTGTCCAAACACTTCTTGATCTCTGCCAGCTGCCATGACCAAGCTCTCAGCAAAGCATCAAGGGCAGCATGTGGAAAATGGGCGTCCAAACAGATTTTACTGCCCATTTCACCCAAATCAAGGGTTTCTTGCTCAGTTTTCTGCCAGGAGATGCACGTGGCCACCTCCTCTCTGCAGTCACCTCCTGCCAAACTCTTCCCTATCCCTCACAAAAGCGCAAAATTTATTCCCCCTTACCCATTGCACCTCAAGCAGCACAGAAGGTGCTCCCAAAGTTTCTGTGCTATTGTACATTTCTCCTGTGAAGGTGGGGGGATAGAAGCACTCCCCAAGCCCTGAGATGCAGATTCTAGACCTTGGCCTTGCCCACCTTATATCTGCAGGTGCCATTATTGTCCCTGGCCCYCAAAATGAGAGCACCCATCAGCAGAACAAGCTGAATAAGCTACAAGGCTGCTGAGTGAGCTGTGGCTGCTTTCCCAGGTCTCTGTGTGTGTTTGTGTCGTGCCAGCACACCAAGGAGACTCCCATCTCAAAGGATGCTTCCCCATTCCCAAAAAACAGCTGGAACCCCTCCCCATCCCTGGAGGATGCAGGGCACAAGAGTGACAGCTCAGGGGAGAAGGGCCAGGTGTGTGAGGGGTTCAGCTACAGCCCAGAGTGTCCTTGGGAGCCTCCCCAGCTGCACAGGCTGAGCTCCAGGTCCAGCACCTGAACACGGGTTCAGCCCCGTTCTCTCTGCAGGGTCGTGCAGGGAATTCCTGCTCCCTGCTCACCCCGTGTGGTGAGACACTCCTGGTGATGCTGATTCTTGCTCCCTTCTCAGGATGGCCATGTGTCGTGGTCTGAATGAATTTAATGGGAGCAAAACACTCCCAAGTTCCAGCAAACCTCCCCCCCTCTCTTTTCCCCACCTGGGTCCTAGAGACAAACTTTTCCACAGAGAGGAAAGTAAAAGGAAAAAAAAAATTTATTTAAAATTGTAAAAACACAAAAAAAAAACCCCTGTGGAATCAGCTGTTAGATCCCAAAGCCTTTCTCTTCCCTCCTGGGAGTAGCTTCCCCTCCGGGGCCCCCAGAGGGGTTGGACAGAGTCTCTCTCCGGTGGTTCACTGAAGGATCTTTCTCGTCTGTCGTGCCACGGGAAAATCCTCCAATTTTCAGATGACGAAGGAAAAAAAAAAAAAAATTCGAGGAGAAACAAGTCCAAAGAAAGGGAGAAAAAAACGAGCAGTCCCAGAGAGCAGGCAGCTTCTTTTCCACCGCTGATCCCGAGCCTCCCTGGAGACAAAAAAAAAACATGTGTGTCTTGTCCCTTTCCCTTCGATTGTCCTTGAAGGGAGGAACATCACCAAACAAACCAGAGCAGTCTCGACTAATGTATAGTTACAGAAGGGTTGTTTAACTTTCTTCTAACATAAGCAGATGATAGGAATACAATACTCAGCTAACCTAGGACACCATGTCAGCTTGTGCCTTCATCCCACAGGCAGCCAGATACACAACAGGACAATCTCCTGACCCCTTTTCTAAACACAGAAATACACTGGAACAGGATCACCCCGTCTCTCCCACCAGTGCGTGCTCACTCACATTTTCTCTYTTCTCTTCCAGATTGGAGCCCAGTGCTACCTGGAGTGCTCAGCCCTCACACAGAAAGGCCTTAAGACTGTTTTTGACGAGGCAATCATGACCATCTTCCACCCCAAGAAGAAGAAGAAGCGCTGTGCCAAGTGCCACAGGTGCTGCACCCTGGTGTGACCCGGGGGACAGAGCCAGCRGAGTTCTGTCAAACCAGGCAGGTCAGAAAGGCAACCAAGGTCACCTGCAACTGAAACGGGGTYTGTGACCACTAAAGGGTCTTTCTCACCCAAAAATAGGAGCCCCCTGTTCTGTGAAACCTCCAGGCTGTATCTCCCTTGGCCAGCTCCTGTCTCTGTGCTTCCCTAACCCTCCGGAGCTGCTTTGCAGACTGCACCAGCAGAAACCAGGATGAAACCAGGATGAAACCAGGATACCTGCTCCTGCTTGGCTCCCCACCTCAGGAATGTGTGGCAAACAGAGAGCTAAAGATGGCAAAAGGAACAGGAGAAATCCCATCTGTGGCCTTAAGTAAGAATTTGATCAAAATTAGGAATTTGCAGTCCTTAGGAATCGAATCTGAATTGACTGAAAGCACACGGAGATCTGTAGAAATCTAAAATGTAAGATATAMACTCTAGGTAGGATGTACTTTGAAATTGCTCTTCTTTTCTAAGACTTGCTGGTTCAGGAGATGCTTCAGTTTGTTCAAACCTCAAGGAAGCAAAGGTGGAGTGATTCCAGTTTGTTTTCACTTGATGGTGAAACTTCACAGCGTCAGGATGTTGCTGCACCCAAGCTATCAAAAAGGATCAACATTTACCTCCAGACTTAAGGAATGTTCTTACAACAAAAAAAAAAAAAATGCAAATAACTGTGTTTTTACAGAGGAATGTTCAGGCTGAGCCATGTTTCTGTAAGCTGGGAAAGGAAGTACAGAGTTGTATCATTAATGTGCCGAAACAAAGAAATTCTGCCACCAAAGAATATTGCCCTAGACATKAAATAGCAGCATGGAACAATCTCTCTTCAAACTGAGAATATGAACCAGACACATTGCCTTGGCAACTGAGAATTTACCTTATAGATCAGCTGGATCTCTTCATCTCACCCAACAGCCAAAACCAGCAAAAACAAAAAAAGCCAAAGGTCATACTGACTTTAAGTGCTTTGAGGTGATCCGATTGCCTTAAAATTATCCTTTTTATATTAAGTATTTCTGTAAAAAACCTTCTCAAAGTGGAGTTGTGAACTTGTTGACTTGTTGACTTGTTGCAGCCTTCCTCCTCGCACTCATTGCTTCTCTCTGCTCCCATTTCTCCATCTTCACAGAAAGTGCTGCTTTGGTTCCAGCGTGGCTGCAGTCCTCAGGAGTGGACATTTCCCTGAGTGGTCAATGATGGGCTGCAGCCAGCAGTGTGGAGATGGGAATTCCAGCCTGTAGGGGAAGGGAAGCTGCCCCTGAGCTCCCTTTGCTGCTCAGAAATTGTGCCTTTCCACCAAAGCCTCTCCCTGCACCCCGCAGTTTTGCACATCAAACAAGGCAGACACTCAGAGGTGAACTCGAGGGGCTCTTGGCTCTTGCAGCTGCYTTTGGGTACCCACAAGAGTGTCCTRCTATGGATTTCCTTCCCYGAGCAGGAGATCACAGCACCAGCACACGAGGTTTGAGGATGTAGCTCCTTGCAGAAGTCRTGCAGCATTTCCAGAAGTGTCAGGAGGGAGTGAGGGACAGAAGAGCATCCTCCCAGCCCCGGGGCACAGGCCCTGCTCCCCTCTGCACCCCATTCCATGAGAATGGCAGTTATATCCTCTTGGGAAGCTGAGGGCACAGCTGTCACCAGGAAAATGGGGTCATTCAGAGCTGGCATGGCCCAGAGCGAGGAGTGACCACAGCAGGAGCAGCACCAGGGCACGAGCAGGGGACCAGGCTGATGGCTCCRAGCTCCTCCTTTGSCACAAATTCAATTCCACACAATCAYAGAAYGGGTTWGGTTGGAAGGGACCTCAAACAYCATCAAATTCCACCCCCCAGTTCACCATGGACACCGACAGAAACCAGCTCTGACACCCCAAAACGTTTCCCGGTAGAAATCAACTGATTTCTSTCTGACAAAAGCCATCAGACTCGAAGCAAAGGCTTTGCTGCTGTTACCCAGTGGCTTCCACTCACCATCCCTTTCCCAGAGCGCACAGACACGGATGAAAACACAGTTGTGCCTAACCTGAGACAGACAAAAGAAAGTCCTCCTCGCTGCTGGCAATTTTTAAACGTGTGATTTTCTGTTCGGTTTTATTTTGTCCCAGACATTTATTTCAGAAAACCCAGCTCAGTGAGTGCAGAGGTTCGTGCTGTGCCTCAGAGTTTGTGTCCATCCCCAGGCAGAGCAGGGAGTGACCCCCTCACCAGGACACTGCCTGTCAGCTGAACTTAAATGTGTTAAAAGACATTAGAGGAGTGTGAGGAGAAGTAGGCATGAGTTAAAAAAAAAAGCCACAAACGAAAAACCTAAACAAACACACACACAAAAAAAGCCTTGAATAGATTTCAGAAAGAAAATATATCTACACTGTGCTGCCTTTTATTTCAGTGGAAGTTAATCAGGATGATTGTTTTAGCTCATGTAGGTTGCTGGAGAGCGATGTACGAGTCTCTGGTGGAATCAGGTGAAGTCTGGTTTAGCTGAAGCACAGTGCAAACGCTTAGGTTGGGGTTGCCTGGTGCTTTTAGAGCTGAAAAAATGCGGAAATAGAGGAAATGGAAAATCCAGAGTGACAGCTGAGCTCATCCTAACACAATGAGCCCACTGGAAAAGTGAAATGCAGCACCCTGGCATGCGTCAGGGAAAGCACAGGTAATCAAACTGCATTTCTGCGTGCCACTGAGTACCAGGGGTGGTTATTAATCCTAAAGGAATGGCACAGGATCAGCAATAAAATCAAAAATCRAGTGGGAAGGTGTAGCATTAACATAACTGCAGTGATTCAAGGGAAATTAACTACAAAATATGGTGATGTAGAAGTTAAAATGCCGCTGTCCCAATGTCCAGCACCCTGAACAACTCCTTTCATAGAGAAAGTAGATAGAAGTTTTAATATGCATACAAAAAATGTTAAGGCTTAGCAGGGCTTTCTTTACACTTACAAAATGGAGCACATGAAGCTTGTGAGGTAGTAAAATTTCAGGTTTCTCAAACTGGTTTTGACCAAAATTTGAATTCTGGGAGCTGCAAGAGAGGGAGATGGGTCACAGCCCACTGAGAAATGGCCACTGCACTCCACTTGTTTTAATCTTTTTTCCAACAGTTTTTTGTTTTTTTTTTAAAGAAAAGCCATGTTTACTGCAGGTCCCACAAACAATATTCCTGTGTTAGGTTATGTACACACACCTGCCCATGAAATGTGGCACTTGCTCAAGGGTCTGCCCTGTTCCACTATTATTTTGGGGAGGCAGGGATTTTGGGCAGATGTAAGGAGAGTCATTGACTCTCTGGCAAGTCATACCTAATGCCTTTTTTAAAGGCAACAGATGGTGTGTGAACAGGCAGCAAAGCTTATTTTCAGAAAAACCACAACACCAGACCTAGTGCAAGTGCAGGCATAAGGCCACCGATATAAACTCAGAGMTGTTTTCAAGAACCATTAGGAGTAAGGAAAGAAAATCAATAAAGGACTGCCAGGTGAAAGGAGATGGGTTTACTCACTGTGAGACGAGCTAGAAATCAGACCCCAATTTCACCTAAAAAGGAACACTGTCAAGGAGAGTCCATAAAGGTTAGAAACCATCCCTGGAACTTATCTGGCAATGTCCCCTTAATGCAGCTGATGTCAAAGCCTTTCCTGACAGCCCTGCCTTTGCTAATAGTCTGCTGTCATTTCAGAAGCACTCACAACTTATAGGAAAACCTGCTGGATCCTGTAAAATCCATCTCCTTTGGGCCCTTCCAAAACCCTAACGTTCCACCAGGAGTTCTTAACCTGGAGCTGCCATTTCAAACAGAATTCCCAAAGTATTTTCATGCAAACTCCTGAAAGGGGATTTTAGAGGTGTTGGAGAGAGCTCTTGAGTCATCAGAGACTTGTTGCCACTTTAAAACAAATTCCAGGTGCCCCTGTCCTTCAGAGCCCTGTGACAGCACCGGGGCAGTGGCACTGGGACACTCCTGCCACTTCCACAGTTTGTCCTGTGCTTCCCAGAGCTCTGAAAATTTGGGCAAAAGGCAAAAAGAAGGCTCTGACCCCACTCAGGTCCATCCTCACTTGTTCAGCTGATGTAAGTCCCAGATAACAACATCATCCAGGGGTGGTGGTGAGCAGTGCTCAAGATGAACCCATCCTGACTGTCCTCTGTGCCCAACAGTCCCAGGCCTTCTCCCTCTGCCCTGGAAATGTCTATTATTACAGCAGCATASAGTTTATGGACAACAACCAACTACAAGTTCTTGCCTTGCCTTGAATTGGGCACAGGATGAATCTTCCCCTCAACCTCACACGTGCTGGTGTTGATAGAAATCTTCTTCTTGCTGGTGGGAGCTACAGAATTCACCCCAAGTCCAGTATGACAATCAAAACAATCATTTCAGCAGCTGGCATTGATAATTCTCTCTTTTATTCTCTTCCAAAGCATTGCATCCATTCAAAATAGACACAGAATTAAATATAGCGTTGCATTTCAATACGAAATAAACTATTTCCAAATACTTTTATTAAAGGGGCAGATTTTGGCCCTCTTCCACCTACTGAAGAGAATCTCACTTCACAAGGAACTGTCTCCAGCTTGCCCATGTCTCATTCCATCCCATTGCACAGCTCAGGTCATGAGGGAGGCTGAGTATGGTCATTGGTGATCTGCCCTCACAATTTGCTGACAACAAACCCTCTTCCAGATGCTCCAGCGTTGGTGGCCTGTGTTCTGTGGAATTCCTTCAGGAATGGTGACCCAATCACTCCCCTGGGCCATATGAAAGACTCCCATCTGCTTTTATACCTTACTCACAACCCCACAACCTTTTCCTGCACCTTTTTTCCCCTGAGGGGCACAGCGAATTCCTCTTGACTCACYATATGGAAACCTCATCTGGATTAAAACTCATTTGCAGTGGCATCAATCTGTCTCAGGCTGGGATTGTTCAGGAGCACATTTGCCTCCTCCAACAAAGCAATCCATCTGCTCCTGCTGGCCCAGGGACCATTTGTTCAACAAAGAGGTGGRATGTAGGAATCTGGCTGCACATGCCTCTTTTTGTATTTTCTTTTTCCCTGAGGAGGATCTGTGTTTTATCCTACGTTCAAAAAGGAGAAATCTGGAAATAACAGAACCTTTAGTTGGTTCACAACTCTGTAGGACTGGAGGAGCATCTGCTGTGACAGGAGGTGAGCATGGAGTGACCTACGTCAGATAACTTCAAGACACATTTGAGCTCCTTGTGAAAACAGAGACGAATTTCCACTATAAATGTTTGTTTTCCTCTTTGTGAATAAAGACCATCTGAAAGCAGGAAAAAGCCTCCCACCGATTTCAGTAGTGGCTTGTGATCTCAGCTGTCTTCACCTATCAAAACAAAACAGGAATAGAAATACTTTTGCATCAARAAGTCGGGACAAAATCACGGATTGGGAGTCGTGAATGCAACAGAAGAACTTCTGCTTCGGGGGAGAGCTGCAAAATCAGGGCCCAGAGCCACAGTCAGTCAGTTTGATCCTAAAACTTCAATTTTGTTTTCAGATGTTAAGGTGACGCCCATAACTAAAATGAAAGAAAAAATCTCAAATTCTCTTTTCTTTGTTTCAGTTAAAGCTTTCAGAAACATGGAAACAAGAATTTATTTTCCTGGGCAGTTCCAGGAACCCCACCAGAAAAGCAAAAAGAGTCAAAAGCTCATTGTAAAAGGAAAATTAGTTCAGAAACCCAGAGCAACAAGCAAAAATCCTGTGAATTGCTGTCAGTGCTGAAAAATCTCTTTAACTTKGAAAATATGGATCCCCATCCCTTACCAGATTGTGCAGACCATAATGCAGAGTTTGGCTGCTTCCAGCTATAATGTTAGGGTGGGATTTTCAGAGATGCTTTATTTTGGCTTMATTTCAACTCTCATGAAGGCAGTGGAAAATTTCAATGGGGTCCACACATGAATAATGTGGAAAACRTTCAAGAGTCTTTATATTTCCTCCTGTTCTGACCTTTTATTTTGGCTGACCAAGCTCTGAGCGCACAGATACACTGCTCCAGGTCCAAGAATCTTTTATACCTTCTGGCTGCTG